CATGTGCGCTGCTAGGGCACGCAGTCTGATAAAACCCTACGCTGCGCTTCCAATTACGCCGAGTACGTACGCTGAGCACGCTGCCAACTCTTGCATCGGCACACTGATATCGCTGAATCAAAATCCCGAGACCACTACAGAACGTATTATTTCACTGTGGGTTGGGCCAGACTGCGCGGCATACGCAGCGTGCGCACATGTGCACAAAAATATAGGGTGCGCGGTGTGAACGCCGCGCAGCCTGACCCAACCTGTGCCGGTGCAAGCGTTGACGGCATATCCAACATACACAGCCTACACAGCTTACGAAACATACTCCCCAAAGTCTGAACCCTTATTCAAACAGTCACTTGGTGCTTCTCGAAACAAGTGGCTTAGCCATATGTTGAAGCGGATGAAGCGTATAAGTATGGCTCGTGGCAGTAGTTACCTGTCGTATTATGTCGTACTTGTGTTACCGCTGCCACCGCTTTTATTTCTTTACCGGTGCTACTGTCATGGTGAGATGTTAATCGTCATTTCTCAAATTACGGATTCCCTTTTCAAATCATTTTAATTTCCATCTGGAAACGGTGAGATCTCACGCGACGCTTTCACCCTGTTCGCATTTCGCGTGATAGTTTACCGCTGAATGCGAGCAACGCTAAGAATAAGTTTTTACATTTGACAATTTATTCTTTGAAAATTGTTGCACGGAAAACTGAGCCGATTAATTCATTATTCAACAGCGTTAGCAGCGGCCACAACATTGCAGCGATAAACAGAAATACAACGGTAAAGATGACGGTGATGACTCCCACTGACATAAAACCTTTACTCATTAACGTTTCCCCCATAACCTTTTTTTGTAAATCATTTATCAAATACTTACAGCTGAAATGTTTGAATGAGAACAATTCGGAATGTTCTCCCGGGAGTTTTCTGATCTTTCGGATTCCAATTGTCATGAAAGCGCATCTAAATGTGAATCCAGACGTGGGCGCTTATAATGCATAAAGCGGTCAAAAGGAATTGAGTAAAGCCAACTTTTTCATTAAGTGAAAAGACAGTCTGCAAACGCTGACTTTCATTGATTTTTGCGGACGT